CGTTATTTGAAAAAAAAAATTGATTTTCGAATAATGTTTATTGGGGAATGTGTAATTAAAAAGTATGGAGAATTTTTTGAATTTATGTGTAATATGATTTTATTGAGAGAATGTGTGGTTGGCTGATAAGAGATGAGAGAAAATGAATTAAAATTTATTGGGGGCCAAACATGGACTAAGTGATTTGACAATAATTGAGTATACGATGAAAGATTCACAATTTAAATGTTTTTAACTTTGAAAATACTCTTACTTTAAAGAGTAATGAGCTTCCTAGATATTAAAAAATTGGGATCAAAACTATTAAAGAATTAACTCGAATTGCGTTGATTCATATGATATGAAATATAGATAAAAAAAACTTGAATTCAATTTTCACGGCTACCTATTTATAAAAATATAACAATACATCGAAATTTTCGAATGAAAAAATTCATGTCCTCAACCCCAAATTTGACTTCAAATTTGTGTGAATCAATAGAGGAAAATTTAGATGGTGATTTTTGTGCAGGCTTTTGTAGTAAGACAAGTATAGCATGGTATTTTAGTGAGAGAATATTAGGATTAAAGTGTACAGAGAGAAAATGACCTATTTCTTGCCCGTTTGCCGTCATTATTCCTCGTTAAATTATAATTCATTTTTCTTTCTTTTCTTATCAGTCACATATTATTCAATAAAATAATATTACATGTAAAATCCAAAACTTTTTCTTCTTTTTTAATCACACATTATTCAAAAAATTACTATTCCTCTCGTTATAATGTGGACTAATGGAGGCCAAATGAGATCTGAAGGCCTACAACTATGATCTTCTCATATTTGAAATTCCAATTTGCCTCTTGAAGACAAACTGAAGACATTTTCTTTATAATAGTATCTACAAATGGGCATTGAGATCCTTATAATTATATTTAGCACCACAACATCATTATAAATTATGATTTTATAGTGAATTATTTGAATGCAATTTAATCAACATATATGTCGTGTTATTATTTTATTTTCATTTTCATTTTTTCTGAGTTTAACAACTAAAGTTCTAAATTCAGAAATTTATTTTAAATTGTGTTAAACGGCCTCATGATTTCCTAGTTTAGAAATTTTGGTAAAGAATGAAATCATTCTTTAAAGCATTTCGTTGTTTACTGCTCCTTTCCTTGTTCCCGAGTAGTTTGTTCGAGGTTAGGATCATATTCAATACACTGTACGAGGGTATCGTAACAATCATACAATAAACTCGAAACTCATTTAAAATCAAATCCAACTTTCATATTGGGTTGGTAGAAAATTTATTGCATCAAGGGGTATTTACATCAGTTACAATTGTAGTAGGTCGAATAATAGTTGCTGCTATTTAATTCATTACCAAATATAATTATTATCTCACGCAATACGCGTGACAACTATATATTTTACACTTCCATTATTGAAATATTGTCATAAATAATCACCTAACATCAATGAAGCTGTAATTTTTGACTTCTACTTACATCTTACGAGGATGCATGTTCATTTGCCAGGCTTTATTGTATTGTAAGGTCCATTTAGGGTAGCAATGTCTTATTGTGTCGTGTGTACTAGGAATTGTTGACAACTTGGTATTTTACTATCTTGTCTTAAAATTTAGTGCCTGTCTGGAGGTGATTCTCACAAAATTTTAATGAAAATTTGGACCGTTTGAAAATATGGGTTTCTTGTTCGAGCTGCAATTTTTGACTCAATATACGAATGCCTTTCATTCAAATAGAATGAGTTAAATGTAAAAAAGGTACGCAGGTAATTTTGTAAATTTTGGACAATAATTGCTGCTCAAATTTACTGTGTAATGCTACAAATTTTGCTCCCAGGGTCCAAATTTTCATTAAAATCCTACTGATAATTGCTTCCAAACAGAACCTCAATGTGTTATTTGTGGTAGGTAACAAGATTTAGATTTACTTGGAAAGTAAATTAGGCAATATTTTCATTTATTTGACCGTTAAAAAATAAAAATTATGGAGGTACACGTGAATGGAAGAAATTTTAAGTAAAGCTTCGTTTCACTTTCAACTTCTGATTTTTTTTTAAAACGAAAACGCCCAAGTAAATGCCAAAAATATAATTCTCTGAAGATTGCACTCAGTGCACATTGCACAGGTCACTATAAGAGGGATCTTCTTCGGTTATACTCTAACAAGTAGCACCCGCCCCACGTCGGTGTGCCGTTGCCAGAGACTGCAAATGGTGCAGCTGAGTAACGCCACATCGCAATCAAGGGAGCATGGTTTAATATGAAGCCCATGTGATTGTATACTCGGCAGGTAGGGGCCGCCCAATGAGTGATGAGTGAAAATGTATTGGTTTATTTGTCTATACACAATATTCCTCGATCACTCAATAAACGTGATATATTTCCTGAAAAAGAATGTGTTCACGTCTCACGATATTCTTTCTAGCTCGTAAGGTCACGGTTACGAGGGTGGCTTACGTTTAAGTATGTGAAGTTATTTGAGCAATTGATCCATGATTGGCTTCCTTTTGGTAGGTTTGTTTGCAT